GTGTGTGTGTTTGTGTGTGCATTAATTAATATTTCCATCTGTCTGCAGGGACGAGGACGCTCCAGCTCAGATTCCAGATGAGGACGCATTGAAACCAGACGGCTGGCTGGACGACGAGCCGGAGTACATCGGAGACCCCGACGCCGTCAAACCTGAAGACTGGTGAGTGACAACATGTGAACCTCTGACACATCAGAGCCTGAGCTCTCTGATTGGCTCATAAAGCTCATGGTTACTTTATTTGTAACAGTTTGGTTTGCAGTAAAAGACATTCCTCTATTAAAACAACAAATAACTCAGACAATATACCAACGTGATGAAGATAAAAGACTTACAAACAGATCAATTAAAAACCACTGGAATGAAGGAGGTAACAACGTGTTAATCTGAGAGATTGAGAGACTATAGACTGCAGATAGAGTTCACAGTGAAACTGCTGTCTCGCTCTGATGACGTCTCTGTACTACCTGTCAGGGACGAGGACATGGACGGCGAATGGGAGGCTCCTCAGGTCCCGAACCCCGCCTGTGAGACCGCCCCCGGCTGCGGCGCCTGGAAGCGACCAATGATTGACAACCCCAACTACAAGGGCAAGTGGAAGCCCCCCATGATCGACAACCCTAACTACCAGGTGAGTCTGGAAACCCCTCCACACTCAGACGCTGCTGCCTCCCTGCGTTGCCTCCCTGCGTTGTCTCCCTGCGACGGATCCTGACCGGAGCTCCTTTCTGTTCTCAGGGAGTCTGGAAGCCGAGGAAGATCCCCAACCCGGCGTTCTTCGAGGACCTGCAGCCCTTCAAGATGACTCCGTTCAGCGCCTTGGGGCTCGAGCTCTGGTCCATGACCTCCGACATCTTCTTCGACAACTTCTTCATCACCGACGATCGCAACACCGCCGAGCGCTGGGCCAACGATGGCTGGGGGCTGAAGAAGGCTGCAGAGGGCGCCGCTGAGGTGGGTGCAGGAAGCGTGTTAACATGAGCCCATCTGAGTGACGTCATTAAGGCGATTAGGGATTGAGAACCAGTATCAGCCGGTACAATCACTGGGTCTGTTTAAAGCCTTAATTATTATTATTATTATTTACTATTCTTAACAACATTATAAATTGAGTGCTAAATCTCATTAATAAAGTATTTATTGGCAACATGTTCAACATGACACGAGTTAAACTGCAGTTTCCACAGAATGACGAAGGAACTGTGGAGGGAATATTTCTGTAGCTCATCTCTTATTTCAGTCGAATTTATTTAATTCTCCACATTATTTTGGTCTGACATCAAAAGCTACTGAAGGACTGGAAGGCTTTATTGTCAGCACTGTGACAGAAACAGAATCAAACTCAT